TGCTTGAAATTAGCTCAGCTATAATTTTGCCGAAGAATGTATACCTTATATTATTCAAACAAAAAAGTTAGATTTTTGATTTTAATGATAATAGGAACCACCCTAGAATTCATTGTCATAAAAATGAGGGCCTAACTATAAGGAACAACTTTGTAGAAGAGACTTTTAGTCTAAAGTTCCAATTTCAGGCTCAAAACATATCATTCCACCTAAATCTGCATTCTGGACCACTGTGCAGTGTACTTTCCACCAGATTATGCTTGTAAGACTTCTTATGAAATATTCTTCCAAATAGTCGAAGAAATAGTATCTCATTTTCTTCCTGAATTTAAAACTCATACCTATGGCGATTTCAATCAACGGAATGCTGATTTCATTCTTGATTCAGAAAATGAGAGTATTTTCCTCCAGTCGTTGGTGAAAATGAGACATTGCAGTTTATTTTTGAGCAAATTGCTTTCTTAGGCCTAAACCAAATAAATCATGTAAAAAATCAGCAGAACTGCTTCCTGGATTCTTTACTAACAAATACGCATGAAGATGTCCTGTGTAAGTGAATCTGTTTCTCCATTATGGAAAAATGAAGTGTTTAACGCAGCAATCGAATATTCTATATTGTATATTATATCCGATGCAAAATCAACCGTTATATGCGTGAACGAAGATACACAATGAAGTGTCTGTTTGTATGTGGCAAAGCGTTCGCTAGACTTGACATTCCAATGTTGATTTTTAAATTAGTAAAAATTGGGAATTGAGATGCAACTCCTCACCTTGATTAAGTAATATTTAACGGACGGTCAGCGAATTGTAAGATTCAGCGAGAAATAATCTAACCCAATTCAAGTCACGTCAGGAGTTCCACAGGGCTCGCAATTGGGGCCTCTTCTTTTCATTACGTTATCTCTCTTATTTTGAAAAATCTCAGAATGCTTATTTATGCTGATGACATGAAACTATTTTTAGAGATAAGAAATGATCATGATATGAATACGTTTCAGAATGAAGTTCATGTTTTTTTATACGTGGTGTTGTAAAAGTTTGTTGGAACTAAATGTTAAAAAATGTAATCTTATAACTTACAGAAAACTAATAAAACCACATATTCGTATTACATTAGGTAATCAAATTGTTGAAAGTTGTGATAAAATAAGAGATTTAGGAGTTATTCTTGATTCTAAATTAACATTTGTGGATCATTATAACACAATAATTCATAGAGCAGACAATATGCTTAATTTTAATAAAGCGGTTAGGTTTCCACTTTAAAGATCCTTACACAATTAAAACACTTTATGTTGCCTATGTGAGGTCAATATTAGAATATTGCAGTGTTGTTTGGTCACCTTATATGAAAAGGCATGAAGAACGAATAGAGTCAATCCAAAGGTAATTTTTATTATATGCACTACGTAAATTGGGATGGACAGAATTTCCTCTCCGATCTTATGAAGCTCGTTGCTTGTTAATCAACATTCAGTCATTGAAAGAGCGTCGAGATTATGCTATGGTCTCTTCCGTGACCAATATTGCTTCGCAGCGCATTGACTCAGCTTATTTATTATCAAGACTTAATTTTTATGTACCTTCTCGTCAATTGCGTAATCGACATTTGTTTGCGGTAGATCGTCACCGCACTAACTACGTGTAATATGGACCGATAAATCGGATGATGTCTGTTTATATTCTACACTGTGAAATGATAGACCTAAATATGCCGCCCCTAAAACTGAAAAAATATTTCCAAGCAATGCGAAATCATAGATCATAAGTTATAATGTTATTATATAGCCTACGTTTTTTTTGTTTACCACACACGGCCGTGAAGTCTCTGCTATCTCAGTTGCAGTTTCAGGATTGATCAGTCAAATTTTCGGCTAACAACAATAACGACGAATCTTTTGTGTGCACTCTGCAGTGAACTTGAACAATCGTTCTATTTACGGCGATTGTCTGATGCACGCGGTGAATCAACCGTTTTGTTTTCGTTCGTTCTCTCGTCGTCATGCAGCCCCATAGGTATTAATTTCCAGTTTATTTGCCACCGAAAGCTACAATACGAAGAACCTAGTAATTCAACTACAATGAGGATGAGTCATGTCATCGTCGTCGTCGTCGTCTTCGGTCGCGATGAGTGACTGATAGCGCGTGTGTAATCAGCGAGGTTTGTACGATGTACAAGCGGCAGCCGGGCAAAATATTGCAAATATAATCATAGCCCTCGGTGCAAGATAACTTCCTTCTATAACGTCCAAGTTCGGTGCAAGTACATTAATAATATAAGCGTACATTGAGTTTCGATAAGTAAAGACGCTTGCGGTCAGTTAGGTTTGATGGGCGTGTATGAAAAATGATTTTTTAAGCTTTCCGTACGTAGCTTGGGTGCTAGAGAGGCGGATGGGTTCAGTAGTAGCTGATAACGCGAACTGCCGCAACCGGTACGAGATGTGCTGCACTGCTTGGTTAACGGCTTAGTGTAAGTCGTATCGTCGGTCAGGGTTGTCACGGTGCGCAGGGTGTCTGCCTTCGGTTTGTATTCGTAAGTAGCGGTGGGAAAATATAGAATGCTGTAGCAGAGCTGTTATACCGGTAAAATCTATCAGTGTTGATACGGCTGCTCACCAACGACGACGACGACGACGATATCCATATGACATCGTCGTGTGTTGCATAATCGAAAGTAAAAAGACGCGTGCGCGAGAATTGCAGGCATTTCCACAGTGTAATAGCTTCCCTTTTTGCTGCACCGTCCGTCACCCACCCTGTCCAAACGGACAGGACACATCGCATGACCATTTCTTCCGTCGAAGTGAAATAGGTCTGTTGTGGAAAGTGTGGAAGAAAGTGAAATACGTGTTTGGCCACTAGCTGCCGTGAATCAACTTTGAAGTTGTTTGCAGTATTACTTTATTACTCTTGAAGGACAACTGGCCGGCTTTTGTAGGTTAGCAGGGTAGCCCGGTGGATCAGGTGTCAAGTTTAAAAAGTTACCCTGACAGTGATTTGTGATCGCATGCCATACGCAACGATGTAAGGCACACATCGAATCAGCTGTTCATATCTTATGTGAAGGTAATGGAGTGTGCGTAGCTCTACAGTTTTTGGTGCAGTGCTATCGGTGTTCATGTAGAGTTTTATCGCAGTTCCGCTTAATTTTCGTTTGAATCAAATAGAAAAAGAAGACGAAACTGATAACTTCTGCGGCATTACAGTGCTGGTAGAATTTGCTAAAATTAGCTACACTATCAGTCCTATCGCTTTGACAAGCTGAGCTATTGCATTACTATCTTGCTTGTGTGGAGGAAGTATGCATAATCGAGTATAATTTACGAAACAAATGCAGTATGGTTCACTGCAACCGGTTTGTTTTCTGTTTTGCATTTATTGTCTTTGTTAAACACGATAATAACGCTTTGTTGCAATCATCGGCCTGTAGTTAATTTTGCATAATTATCAGATGGTCAAGGTATAAGAGCTCCAAAGAGCTTACACAAGTGAAACAAGTGAATTTGAAACATCTTGAACCCTAGTTTATCTTGCCACTTGGAGTGAGACCTTAAAATGGCTTTAATCATGGCATCGAAGTGAATTGGGTCTCCTGTATGTATGACCAGTAAAAACGCAATTAACAACAGAGTGAAGGCGCTCAAAAAGCAAAGAACAAAATAATTAAAAGATCCAGAATCTATCCCGTTGAAGGCATGAAGCTCTTTTTAAAAAAATGTATGTATGTACATCTAAAGAAAATTTTATGAATGAGTGCAAAATTACGATATAAGTTTATGTTTGTATAGTTCAATTCTGCAAAGATCAAATGAAAAGAAACCAGCTTCCATAGATCAAAGGTCTAGATCCGTAATTCGATAGAAATTGATTAATTCCGGAAATATACTGAATTTGCCGTAGAAATAGCATCACTTAAGATGTTCCGCTTTGTCCAACTGAATTGCTGATGTATTCTTAGATTAATGAGTTCGCCATCGCAAACCTTTCCATATCTAGAATCAACCAACTCAGCACCAACGCCACATTGCGCGTACATATGTTGTATTACAGATATTTGTGTGAATTGTATTGACACAATTGTGTGGTTTTCCAATGCGCAACGCTTCACCGGCAACGGTGGATAAGTAACTACTAGTAAAACAACGTTGTTTTCGCATACCCAAGTGTAAATTTGATAAGAATTTTTCATCTAGGAGCATTTTCGGTTCGTGTATTACTCGTTGTACGATACGACCTTGCAGGCAAAAAAACATTCTTCGTTTCGTTTATTTATCGATAAGAAGCTGTTATGCATACAGTTAGCGCCAAGGCACGTGTCACGAGTGTGACTATAGCTACAAAGGGTGTACTCCATTTAATCTAATCCAAAAAATGTGTGACGTGCTCGAGAACTGTTACGTTTAACTAGTCGTACCTTTTGGGAGAGTCAATTAAACTAGTTAAACGTAACAGTCCCGAACACACCGCACCTTTTGCACAGCTCGATGAAATTTGATCCATCTTATTGTGTGTATCTATCCGCCATTGGTTTTCATCTACCTTTCCCGTATCCTGCTGGAAAGTTTGTCGCCAAGCAGTCTACAGCAAAATAAATGGTATCACACGCGATGCAACCCAGTTAAACACTGCATGTTTCCATCATTTTGCGGCTAAACTGTAACTAGGTAGCCATGTACCGTATAATTAGATGCACACTATTGGGGCAGCTACATTGAATTGTTATTGTGCAACCGTTAAAGTGCGTTATTTGCACTAATACGCTGGAATGATTTTATGTATCGCCCCTTTGCCAGTATTATCTTATCGTTAGCGACTCGATTAGAAAACTTGCATCGTGCAAGTCCTTCTTCAAATAATGTCAATAAATATCTACTATCTGTTTGATCTTGCTTATCACTGCTGATATCTCCGCTGTAATTACCATTACCTGTATAAACCTTCGAGTATGAAAAAAAAAAGAACAAACACTTTAATGAAGTATTCTTTTCCCGCAGGTGATCACGGGGTACCAGTCGAACTAGTACTTTGAAACAAGGAGAACGACGCGAAAACCAGCAACGGAACCAAGCCAGGCGCCATGCCTCATCGGAACCTGTCGAGTGCGCAACGTAGTCTGGCCAGTTTGGCTACGTTCGAAACCTGAATTCGTCGCGTAAATTTATCGCTATCTGTAGTGTTAGTGGTGTGTGTTACATAACATTTTGATAAAGCAGTCAAAATTATTCAGAATCTGATAGTTAAAATTAGTTCATAAGTTCAAAGTGATCATTCCTTAGTAGCACGTAAAAAGCGTGGTAGAGTATCGGGAAACAAAATTGGGAGCGGCTATTGGAGCAGAGCAGAAAATGCTGAATTCCATTTCGAAGCATCTGCTTCACTGCGCGTTGCTCCTCTCGTTGCTCGTATTTTTTGAAGTTTTTTCGGGCGGAATAAAAATCAACGAGAACAGTTTTGTCTCAATCGACCCTTGGGAGGAGTATGGCACGATACCAACGATCTTGCTGTACACGCTGCGGTTCCTTACGTTCCTTACGTTGCCTCAGGTACTGTTTAACTTCTTCGGTTTGGTGTTCTACAATGCCTTCCCGGAGAAGGTAGTACTGAAAGGGTCGCCCCTATTGGCGCCTTTCATCTGCATTCGGGTCGTAACTCGAGGTGACTATGCCGACCTAGTCAAATCGAATGTCACGCGAAACATGAACACCTGTTTGGATACAGGGCTAGAGAACTTCCTAATCGAAGTCGTTACCGATAAATCGGTAAACTTACCGAAACATCGGCGGACCCGAGAGATCGTCGTTCCAAAGGATTACAAAACCAAATCGGGTGCATTGTTCAAGTCACGTGCTCTACAGTACTGTTTGGAGGATAACGTAAACGTACTTAACAACAATGATTGGGTGGTGCATTTGGACGAGGAAACACTTCTGACCGAAAACAGCGTGCGCGGAATCATCAACTTCGTACTGGATGGAAAGCACCCCTTCGGACAGGGATTGATTACCTACGCAAACGAGAACGTGGTGAACTGGCTCACGACTTTGGCCGACAGTTTCCGCGTGTCGGACGATATGGGAAAGCTGCGATTACAGTTCAAAATGTTCCACAAACCATTCTTCAGTTGGAAAGGGAGCTACGTGGTTACTCAGGTGAGTGAAACGGATTTTATAGTTGAGCTTTTCAGCCTTTCTCGTAAACATGTTTCGACTTCGACTCCCCAAAAATATGTCGGCGACTCCAAGACAATATTTCCAGACCAAATAGCGAAAAAAAAAACGAATTTCAGATTTTATCTTTTCGAATTTGATGAAACTTTGCATAATTTGCAAATCGCCTATTCCGTCCTATGAATTAGAAAACATCAAGAACCGGAAATACTAAAAGTAACCGGGAAAAACCTGGAAATTCGACGGATTCCCGAGGAAAATCAATAAACCTGAATATATGATCAATTATAGTTTATTTTTATTGTTTATGAATGAACAAGTTCGTAAAGTGCATGAAACATAGATTTTTTAAATTGTCATGATCTCTTAGTCATGCAGATTTCAACTTTATCAACTTATGTGTTACTTTTCCAAATGGTTTAATATAAACCTCTTTAAATTTGACATAACATTTTGTTTTCAAATAATAACCTTAGAATTTTGGTTACAATAATCATGGAACCTTGGAATTCTCTTTGGAATTTTCTTAAAACTCTCGGAACAATTTCCTCGAAATCTTCCATAGGTTTCCATTTGTATTATGCTAAAAATTAAACTCCTTTCAAAATATTTTCAAAATTTTAATCAAAACTTTCCTCGGGAATTCCAGTATTTCAAAATAGATTGGACTAGACAGCTAAACGTTTTTTCAGGAATCTACCAGAGTCTATTTCTTTATAAATTATCCTTAGAACACCCTATAAATTATGTTAATAAGCATCTTTGCATTCTCGCCCAAATTCTCTTGGAATTATTTTTAAAATTCACTTGCTAATCTCCTCATGATCCCCATAAAATTCAACTCAGAATGACGTAGGATATCTTCTTGATGTTGTTTTCACAACTTTCATGGAATTAGTTTTAGAATTAATCATTTTGTCAAGCTTCTGCATTCATGTTCCATCAGATGTCACTGCTGTTGTTTGCGGTGAAATCTATTGGAAACTACACACAATCTGTTTTCTTATAATTGTTCACAGAGGACACTGCAGTGCAAAATATGTCTGGTACCTCTATATATGCATTTAGATTATTATTCGAAGTCCCTCCTTTTTTACACATTCTGCACACAAAATAGCTCACCCCTCACAGAATTTCCCGCCGATTTTTTTTTATGTATGGCGGGGCATAAAGTATCTTTTGTGCAGAATATGTAAAAAAGAAGGGATTTCAAATGTTAAAGTAAATCCATGTATAGAGGTACCAGACATGTTTTGTATTGTCAGGTACTCTATTTTGTAATCTGTAAAAGGGAAATCACAAATCGAGTGTCAACAAAATATATGGCATGTTGAGAGATTGAGGTTGTGAAAGCAAATTCTCTCTCTCAAATTTAATTTTTTTTGGCTCTCTGGGAACTGGTAGTAGAGCAGGTAAAACTGTATGGGGAAAAATTATTTTTATTTAATTTGAGCTTGTTTAACAATAATTTCCGGGAAAAAAACTGAGCGACAAAGTCCCTGATTCATTTCTTTAGGTTGTCGTTCACTTTTTTTTTACCTGAATATGCACCGAAAGCGAATTATTCCCATTTCTCTCAATTTCTATATGGGGATTTTTATCACTTCCTACCAGCGGAACAGCGCCATCTCTGTGGAAAATGGTCAAGCAAAATGATTAATTATCAAGGAATTCAATTAATCATGTTTTGTTGTTTTTGACATCATCCACATCCAGAGGGCCAGTCACTTTCGAATGTATGGGAATGGTAGGAAACCATTTGGAAATGCATGAACATTTTCAGTTTTTATTCATTATCGACTTTATGAGCAGTTTTAGATGCACAAAAATTGCACGAGTACATTACTATGGTGATAAGGTAAACACTCGTTTATTTGTTTCCTTCTGTGAAAGCATGTTAAGTCACAAATCGTGGATTTTCTGATATTCTCCATACTGCAAAAATGATTTTCCTACCACTGAAGGGGCGACATCTCTCGGATCGTCAGTATAGCTACTACTCAAATCATATAATTAATTCTTCTCCCCATAAATTCCATGGAATTCATATCAGAATTCCTTGGAACGACATTATTTCAGAATTATTTGGAAATTGTGGTCAGAACTCCTTTAGGATGCTTATCAGAATTGTGTAGTTATTCTGCTGAGAATTTCTCTTGAATTAACTTTTTAATGCCTTTTAAATTCTCAAAAAAAATCCATAGGAATTATCCTCATATTTCTAGGATATATTTTTTTTTAACCTTCTGAATCTTCTTCCAATTTGTAGAGCCTTGAAAACTTTACAGGACCAACATATTTTTTATAATCTGTGAATTTTCCAATGTTCCACATTTTGAGTATTTTTCTCTAACCCATATTTTAAAAAATCCAATTCTTTTTGCTTTATAAATCTAAGACCTTAGAGTTTTGATAAATATTTAAAAAAAAATGCAATTTAATGCTCTTAGCAAATCTTATAGCTTCAGATTTTTTAAAGATTTCTGTTAGTTCAGATTATGAAATGTTCTAACATTTTCTTACTCCAAAATCTTCAACAAATTTCACTAGATCTCATTTGTATCAAGTTAAAGATTTTTCAAACAATGTATTAATTCGATCTCTCACTCTTTACAATTTGGTTTAATGACCCATTCAGCGTAATAGCGTTCGGCCTAGAGACCCTACAAATATTGGTAAATGTAAAAATTAAATCGAGATAGGCACTAAGAAACTTAAATTTGCATCACTTTACTAAGCTTAAGACCTCTTATTGTCGCAAAGCTCGAGAATTTACTGAGCAACTGTATCATGGGATTTTTATGGTCACTAGGCCAAACGCTATTGAGCTGATGGGGTCATTAAACCGAATTTAAAAGAGTGAGAGATTGCATTTAGAAATCGTTTAAGAAATCATCAACTTGATACCTGATATATTTCTTATAATCATTCCACATTTGAAGATCACTTCCAGTTGACTTCGGTGGGCTGACATTCATAATTATTATTAGCTAGTCCATAATTTTGGGATGCCTTTAAAATGGATGTGTAATGGATCCAAACATTTTTTTTAATTCGTTTATTTTTCCAGGCTCATTTGCTGTAGCTTTGCGGAGCCGATATTCATTGTTTAGATTACAAAATTAATTAAAACTAACATTAGTAAAGCGGGGGTTGATTACTCGCGGCTATCTCGAGGTTAGGGGTAACAAATTGTAACAAATGGATGAGATTGTGAACACAAGGTTTGAAGAGCAATGTGCTCTTGATCTCGAACTAATCGACACTCTGATGAAAAAGACAAACATGGGGGTACACCGATGGGCAGCTAACAACTTGGGAGAACACAAGATGACACTAACTACTAAATCCTCAAATCTATCCGTTTTAAAAACACATAAATTAAGTTCAAATAGCCGAGATCTCGGCTCGCCAAGACATCTCTAACGGGTATCGCGGGTTGTTTTCCTCGGGCCCTGAGGGATGTGGATAACTCAAATCTGGCAACACGGTGTAGGGTACATGACCAAACAACATGCTCGATATCGTGATAACCACTTCCACACGCACATAAATTGCTGCCTGAGAGCCCAATTCGATAGAAGTGCGAGTCTAACGAACAGTGATTGAAACATAAGCCTTGACATAACGCGTATAAAGTCACGGCTCATGTCCAACCGTTTGAACCATGGTTTGTTCGACACCTGTGGGAGAATAGAATGTAACCATCTTCCCAAATCACCATCATTCCATTTTTGTTGCCAACTGATGAGGACTTGCTGACGAGTAATGCAGAAAAATTCGATGAAGGCGATTTGTCGCTCAAAAATATCGCCTTCCATATCGCCCACCTTAGCCAACGAGTCCGCTTTCTCATTACCCGGAATTGAGCAATGAGATGGAACCCAAGCTAAGGTGATAGTATAGGAGCAGATCAAAATTGTAAAGAGTAAAGATCAATGGTTTATTTTATAACATTCGAGCCATTTTGTTGAATATAGTTTCATTTGTACCTTTTTACCTTTGAAGTTTTGCTATTGAAGATAATTTACCCACAAATATCATGGCAAAATTGCACATAGTCACGATTAAAATAAAATTATGAAATACAGTCAACTCTCCACAACTCGATGTCCACTATCGATATCGAGTTATAGAACCATAGTTAAAATTAATTTTGTATGGAATTGTTATTCTATAACTCGATAATCCCTTGAATATCGAGTTGTAGAGAGTTCACCATACTTTCGTTTTATACTGAATATTGTAAATCGGGATTTATAATGATTTGAACCGGGAAATCCGGGAAAAGAAAAGGAAAAGAAAAAGGAGAAGGACAATATTTTTTATTTGAAATATACAATATAGAAATGCAGAACGGCGGCGCGGTGGTCACTACCTGAGTCTTGTCACTATTATCAAGTTTTAAAAAAGTAACAAGGACTAAAATGTGATCCTTTGATTACTGGAAAATCCTGATTCCCTAGTTTGAAGTTGTCACGACTAGGGTTGGGTGGTAGATCTTATACCAGTAACGCACCACAAAAAGGTGATCTCCCAACGTTACTGGTTTGAAAAGATAAAAATGTACAAAATGGAACGAACTCACCAAGTTTAGCCAATTGAACCTGAAGGCTGACTGACATGTGTTGATGTAGAAGTCCAAATTGTAAACGAAGCTTGACGAAGATCAACATGAACTAGTCCGGTTTATGGTAGTTGCGCGGAATGTCTTCCTTCGATCTGAGATAAACAAATGTTCGGATGTATGTAGTCAATTTTTGATGTGCATTGGCAAGCCTTTTCGTGGCCAAAAGTCAGGTTCAACGCTGCGACTCAACGAATGATGGAACTTATGATGGGACTATGTAAAACTTCTATCGATACTATGTAAAACTTCTATCGATACTATGCAAAACTTCGATACTATGTAAAACTTCTATCGGCATGAAGTGTTGGGGGGGGGGAGTCTTGTGTAAATTTGCGCTTCTCAGTTACCGAAG